CTCTCCTGGGCAAGTCCCTAGCAAGTTTGCTGGCGTGACAGTTTCACCTTAAAAGCCTTCAAACTCCTCTTCATCATCTGATATTAAAAGTTCATCAACGACATCTTGGTGCCATGATAGGGATGATAGGGGTTTGACTGGTCGACATTTTCTATGCTGTACTGTACAATGGGGCAGTATTGTGGTTGGCTGTTGGCTGTATACAAAGCCTGATTTGATTGGTCCCTGCTCCCTGTTTGCCCGCCCTGTCACTATAGCAGTCTGGTCCACCCTTGCATCAGCATCTCTCTGGGACCTCACTAGTGCGCAAGTGCGAGCTCTTCAACATTCTAACAGGCACCATGATAGCGCAAAATCGCGAATCTTCAATGCATATGTAAAGAAATATACGGTAACCCGAATTTACCACACTCGCAAAATCGCACACAGCCAACCATACACCCAGTATGGTATCGCGATTCGTGATTTTGCGCTATCATACTGGGTGTATGGTCGGCTGTGTGCGATTTTGCGAGTGTGGTAAAATCGCATAACAGCAAAATCGCATAACAGCCGAGCATACACCCAGCAGCGCTGCTGATGCCTGAACGGTATGTGGAATGAAGTGGGAGGGCATCGGGAGGCCACTATGGCACGGGGCAAGCACTATGGGCAGTCTATCTGAAGTGTACCTGGCGTATAAGACGACCCCCCACTTGGAGGCATATTTTTCAGGGCCAAAAAATCATCTTATACGCCGGCAAATACGGTATAACTGATCTTTGAGTTCAACAAGGAAAATATACTGAGAATCCTACTAAGTGCTAAGCACTGTTCCAGGCACCAAGAGGGCTGAAGATGAGTATGGCATGGCCCTGCTCTTGCAAAACTTACAGTACTTTAGAGAAGGTTATTTAAGCTAACAGTCCAAGAGTAAGAATGATGGAGTATGGACAGGTGGCTGGAGAGGGTGGGCAGAGGGAGAGGCACAAAGGCCAACATCGTAGTTCAGTGAGAGCTATTCGAATTAAGCTCCATTTGGACAGGGTCCCCCTCTGCCAGCTCAACAAGGGAACCCCAACACTTCCTGACACATACTTGGTGCTCAATAAGTGGATTTGAATCTGAATCAAGGTTGAGCGGAAGATACTGATCTGAGAGTCATCAGTGTCTGGGAAGCCATTCAAATCCTCAGAGTGCATAAGAAATCCCAGGGCCGCATGTCCAGAGAGTGAACAGGTGTCCTGGGACACCCCGTGCTTAACAGGTGGGCAGAGGAAGTGAAGGAGGAGGCAGGAGAAAGGGGCAAAAAAGCAGTGTCATAGAAGGCAGGGCAGGAGAAAATGTCCAGGAAAGATGCAAAATCATCGTGCAGTACAATCTTCTGATAGGAACGGAATGTAATGCCACACGAGACAGACCTAAATGGAATAAATGCCTAGGCTAATAATTACTCAAACTGAGCGTCATTTTCCCCAAGCTTCCTCGCACGCAAGCAAAAGGAGACATGTGATCGGTTTCATAAGACTCATAATTTGCTACAGGAGAGCTTATGGACAGGGAGAGTGAGTTGCTGAACATCTAGAAGCACAGAACTCTGAGGGAGAAGTCGGCATGTTTTATATCCTACAACCCAGTTATTGTTGTTTTACTCTCTGCTATTATCCCCTGGAGCTGGAAATTGCAGGTAAGAATTCAAAACTCCTACCCCTTTTCTGTCAGAATCCTGTTAGACTACAATCATTTGTGATGGATGAGCCTGAAATTGAAACCATTACAGAGAAAAGCCAGCCTGGGTCAGTTTTGTCAGAGCAAATCTGTATTTTAAATTGGAGTCATCTAATGAGGGAGGCATCTTGCAAACACACACACTGCGGAATGAGAACCAAACAGCACTGTTTCTTTTCTTTTCTTTTTTCCTTCAAAAAATGCCAAAAGCCCCAGTGGGAAGCAGTACAAGGGCCGCAGTGTTGCACACAAACTAGCAACAAGAAACTCAAATCAGTGATTTTTCTTCCTTGTGAAGAGTAGTGACGCGAAAGGCTCAGGGATGTGGGTTAGGCAAGACCATTGGTTTTCATCTGTGCTCTCCTGTCCCCACCTTCTCAAGGCCCTGAACTCTGACACAAACACCGTCAGGAAAAGGCAGGAGCCTCCCAAAACTTGTAAGAAAAACAATCCTGTGAGAGGAGGATTGTAGTGGTTTGAATATTGTTCTCCCTGCCCCAGATCATGTCTCTAGGATCTCTCAGGTTGTGACCTTCTTTAGAAATAGGGTCTTTGCAGCTGTAATTAGTTGAGGATCTTTGCATGAAGTCATCCTAGATTTAGGATAGGCCCTGAATCCAATGGTTTGTGTCCTTATAAGAAGAGAAGAGGAGGCAGGGAGATACACAGAGAAGGCCATGTGAGGATGGAGGCAGGGGTTGGAGCAGGGGTGGGCAAACTTTTTGACTCAAGGGCCACAATGGGTTCTTAAACTGGACCGGAAGGCTGGAACAAAAGCATGGATGGAGTGTTTTTGTGAACTAATATAAATTCAGAGTAAACATCATTACATAAAAGGGCATGCTCCTTTTTTTTTTTTTTTTTAGTTTTATTCATTTCAAACGGGCCGTAGTTTGCCCACGGCTGGGTTGGAGTGATGCTGCCATAAACCAAAGAGTTCCAGGGGGCAGCAGAAGCCGGGAGAGGCAGGGAAAGATCGGCCTCTTGAGCTTTCAGAAAGAGCAGGGCCCTGCCGACACCTGGATTTCAGGCTTCTAGCCTCCAGAACTGTGAGACAATAAGTTCCTTTTGTTTTAAGCCACCTGGTTTGTGGTACTTTGTTACTGCAGCCCTGGGAAACTCAGATAGGAATGAAAGGGAATTGACATACAGAAGATGAGAGGGACCTTCAACTGGGGGTAACCAGCCTAAGAAAGAGTCCGGAAGAAGGTGCCGAGCACAGGTAAGAAGACTAGACTCTATTGAAGGGCCTAGCATTAAACTCAAAAGAATGCCATCTAATGTCATATTATTACTAACAGTCCAATGGGCATATAATCGTCAGGAGCAACCCTATGGGTAGACACTATCTCATACTGCCCGTGCAAACACTGAGGCCAGAGGGTTGAGCAACTTGATCAAGGTCACACAGGTTGCAGGTGGGGGAGCTGGGACTTGAGCCTGCATGACTGACATTAACACCCATGCTCTTGAGGACCTCATTACATAGGAGCTGAAGCACAGTTGTACCAAGTACAAAGCATGGTATGCAGCAAGGATGCA